TCCATTCCTCATTGAAGTACCACTCAGGAAGAGTGCATATCCCTTCTCTTACAACTCCTCAACCTCAAAGCACGAATCATTATAGCCACAATTCTCTCCTCCTCAGATACTCTTCAATTGATTTCTTTCAAGTACAGATGCTCATTAGTCATTGACCTATTCAAACCACATGTCCACTAGATTGTAACAGAATGTGTGGATAAGCTGAAATTGTATGCACGACACAAGGATAAGTAATTGCCGTAATGGACAATTGAATAAAATATCCATTTATATTTGATCATTGAACTGAACAAACCTTAATCATACCGAAATCAAATCAAAACTCACAAAACCAGGGAGTGTTATGTATGTGTGTGTGTTGGTAGCAAGAGTGTGGCACAATGTGCGCACTCGTTAAAATTTTATTCAAATTTATCCACTCTTACGAGTGACAATACAAACCAATCTAACCATATTCGTTACCATCTCTCCAATTTAACAATCAAAGTACTTCTCTGCTTCGTGTTCAACTCCTATTCTAAACCCCTCAACAAAGTGCGAAGGAAAGCACAAATATACGTCACTTAATGGAGATTTCGAAACCACCAACAAGAAATCTAAAATAAGCTGGTGTGTTTTGATCAACGTGGTTGAGAAATTCTTTCCTTAATGCCAGGACTGATATATATTTCCATAAAAAGGCCTCAGCAACTAGAAAATACCAGAAGACTGTGCGCAGTTGGGTTTTAAACATTAATAAATAAGGAACACATTTTCAAAGTCCACTTCTTAGTATTTGGCATGTGCGAAAATGGTGAACGCCTATCTTAATTCCTTGAAGGGAAGATGGGTGTCAACTTTGTTACTAATTTGGCTTTTTATACTACTTAAACAAGCAAACTCTCTCTTCACCTTCTCCGTTTAACTAACCGATTACATGCGTATCGCATCGAATGCATCTTTCCTTCTATGGTACTTGCCAACTCTATAACTCTGCATTTTACTTTCTTAAATGAGCACATAATTGAAACTATTCCAAAGCGAGAAAATGGAAGGTCATGAAAGCATACGGCTTTTGGAAGGGGGTCCACTGTATGTGCCAGATCTCAGTCTTCCATTCACAGTAGGAGGAGGAGGAGGAGTTGAGTCGATGAGATCCAAGTGACGAGTCAAGGGAGTGGATCGACCAAAAGGAGAAGAGACGGGACTGCTGGTCTTGTCAGATTCCGCCAGTAGGGACTCCAGCCACTCGACTGCAGGGCCCCAGAGATGTGGGAATCTCGAGAGACCCTCCACCACAGCAGTGTTCTCCGATGCCAGCTCAACAAGGAACTTCATGCATTGGTAGGCTCTACGCGAATCCAAAGTGCTTCTGCCTTCTGGTCCGTTTTCATTGGTGAGAAGAACTAAGCCAGTTAAAGTAAATATCGTTGATTCACAACTGGAAAGGCAATCCCACAACGAATAGCAATCAAATTTCTATAAAACTGCAAACTGAGGAGCTGTGTCACGTAAATTTTTTATTAACGGTAAAGTTTCTACTTCAGATTAACTGCTAACAAATAAATATTATTTTTCTACCATCTGGTTGGGGGAAGGATTTGTCAATTTTAGGCAAAATTCGTAACGGAAAAAAATTTGCCACCAAGGCGACATTGAGGTGAGCAAAAGACAATTTTAAATTAAGGAAAGTTTGAAGGCAAATGAAATGCCAGAATGACATTGGAAGTTAATCGATTGTTCATACTGTGGTTAATTTTTACCGTTTCTTTTTAATTTTAAAACCCACACTTAAGCCATCTAAATGCCCACAAAATTCCAAAGTGAGTAGAAAAGCATTTCGAGGTCTCGGAAGAGTTCGTTGTCAATTGTATCACCGTTTTCTTAACAAGCATACTTCGCCTCAATGTCTTCAACGTCACAATGTAACTGGGGGATCTTCCACTTCAATCTAACCCCACCCCACCCCGTTGTCACATTACCACTCCAGTGCCATTGTGCAGAGCCTAGCTAGTGGATATTATCGGTGACATGTAATTTGTGAGACAAAATTAATGCGAAATTTACAGAGTAATCCAGGGTGGTCAAAATCTGGGGGAGGATAATATCTGGATGAGTCATCTACAGGTTCTTCACTCGAATCCATTGGGATGTCTCCAAATATTGTCTCATTCTCCATTCGCCCCGATTGAAAATTCGGTCGAAGTCGCCATGCGGGACCTTGAAGACCACATAGCACTGCTAAAACTCGCATTGACTGCAACTCGTCTTTCACACGGAGGAGGTGTTTGATCAGATCGAAGTAATGACGAAGTTCTACCAGTGGGCGAGTGACTATTAGTGAAAGTAACTGCAAAAAAAGGAGATATTTGTGAGGATACTCGTTGGTCAAATAACTGGATGAAAGGGTCTACTCAAAATCCAACATGTGAAAGGAACCGTGTTATATTTCAGGCTAAGAAATTGTTCAATTGAAAGGAGATGAGTCACCATTTCAACAAATTTTGAAATAATGGAGAAAGATTTGCAATTAATGGCCTTCTGTGAAGTCACGATTGGATGTGCAACGTTGCATTCCCGGTGGGTGGAATGTCCAACATTGCCCATCAAGATTGTCTTATAAGGAAGAGGGGAGTGGGATTCCACTGTCTCATTAGGGAGGCGGAGTCAAGGAATTACCTTCTCAACCCAAGATGGGTGATGAGATGCACTTCCCACGTGGTCTGGTCTGACTGCACTCGAACATCGTCTGAGCAATAGAATTCTCACAGTCAAAAAGCTCAAACAAGAGGATCAGAAAATTCATTGCACCTCAAACCTTCGAATTGCTACGTTGTGTTCTTTCAAATTCGACACAAGTGCATTTCTTCATTTTTAATAATCGATTCAACTACTTCGTTTGGAGGGCGTGGTCGCTTTCGTGAAGCAATTGGTTAGATTGTGGAATCACTTTTTCGTCTATAAATAGAACACTGAAGGTCAATGTGCTTTGGCTAAAGTTAGTTTCGATCTAATACCACAAATTAGATCCATTGTGTGAAAACAGATCGTTTGTATGGATTTTGGATTGACTCACTTGCACACTATTTATGTAAAGGCATAGTTAGAGGAAAGAAATTCGCCCACAGGAAAATTTAAAAAATCAGTGTTTGGTGTGGGTTGAAAGCGAAAGAGAATAAATATTTGTAGACGAATTTAAATTGTAATTTCAGAGTATATGTTGAGACAATAGCGCATCATGATTAATATTTGCGCTCTTGATTGATTTCTTTCTGATTTCAAGATTTTCAAACTAATCTTCTGTAGTTACACCGATTTATCCAAATGTAATCCATTCAAGTCGTGTTCTCTCAATGGTCATCCCTGTCTTCCATGAGTTTCACCAATGAGTCTCAGGTATTAACTCGAGTGTTTGTTGAAGGGAAATTCATTAAATGTTCACAGAGGACAAATTGAAGTCATTTGTGTTCCTACTTTCTGAAATGTCATTTTTTCACCAATTTTACACCTGCACCTGTTAGTGAGAAGTGCATTAGGCCGTTCTCTTCACCAAGTGCCCATCTTCAGATATATATATGGATGGATGTTTTGTGGACTAGAGAGTAGATCTTTAATTATTTCAATGTATTTGATGATTATTAGAACGTGTTGTTTAATCATTAGCATAAAAACCACATCAACATCAATTTGAACATACAGCAGAAATAAAAGCTGCTGAAGGAATCCACCACGACTGAGTGAGATGTGTCAGCACATCCACCATAGTCTCCCTCAACCCATACTCGTCAGAAGTGCTCGTCACTGAAACCCCTTGAGTAGGGGTTGGTGTGGAATCCCCCTCGCCAGCACTTGGTGCTCCATAACCAATTTGTTGGGACTGAAATGGTTGTTGTTGTTGTTGATGATGAAGATGATCGTGCTGCCTTTGTGGAGGTGGTGGAGTGTGAGGGTTCTCGACATAACTACGAATCACAGCCTCCACGAGAAGAAACATTCCAACGTAACGAAGTCGAGGTGGCAGACCACGGGCTGAAGCTGGACAGAGAGCATCACTGGATGTTGTAAGATTCGAGAATCCTAACCACCGAGCCGTTTCTGGTCGTGGGAATAGACGCAAGCGGGATGGATGAGAGGTGGAAGGAGCAATTGCTGAAATAGGAATAACAAGAACCACTTTAGCTTCTCAAAATGTCCAAAACTACTGCCTCAATATGCCTTGTGAGCCTTATTCTAACTTTCATATACACTCTCCAATCTTTACTGCTAATTGTACTGTGAAGCAGTTACAATTCGAGTGCCTTTTAGCTTTAGTCTGTTATTGTTTGCTGGCTTTAAAGATAGTGCTTTCCTCAAGTGTTAAAGAACATTTTTTGATTATGCCGTACTCGGCCTCTGACTCCACTTGAAACATGACATCCTGACCAGTTTCAATACACTTCGTCCACCTCTAGCTCACAGTATCTACTTTCAGCTTATTGCAAAGGAATATCGGGTTGGAGAACATCAGTGCATTAACTGGTGGTCTCCACAAATTCAATTAATTTCTAACATTAATCACAATAAATCAATCAATATTATTTCCAGACAGATCTAGTGCTGTATGCCACACCTTATGACAACAAGGCACCATAAATTTTGCCAGGAACCATTGAAACTGGACAGAATGAATTACTAGATAGGCAGGCGGTTCTAAATGGAATTAAAGAGAGTGTTCCTTTCCTCCCACGAATTAGAAATTTTGCTGACGTGACTGGCTGAATGAAAAATTCATGAAAATGGTGCACAAATATAACCCCTGTTTACTGAAAGGAATTTGGCATTCTTCGAGTACTAAATTTAAATTCCCCGTAAATAGACCCATTCAACCACTTTATTTAAACAACTCTGTATTTACAAACGTTTTCCTTGAACTCTTGTTAAGTAGTTAGTGAGTTACTTGGAGATCCACTGTGACACCACTAGAACACCTCGAAGCCGAACAAAACTCAGAAGGGACCATTTTAGTGCAGATGATATACTTGAGGTGAAGGGGAAACCAAGATGACACTCAGAACAATATCACTTCTCTTTGAGTGCATTTCTTGCATTGAGGTCTCAGGTGCTGGCTTCTCAGTTGGAATAATCTGCAATCGTCTATGTTTTCTTCATATATCGATTAAGATTATTGCTTTATTTATTTATTTTTTGTCACTGGAATCCCCTAAGTTGAAATGATAGAGTTAATTAGGAATTAGGCCGATATTTTGTCTGGAGACGTGGATGGTGTTGTTTGTCTGAAATCGGAGATGGATCTGTAGGTCTAACCTATATTGAACAAGTGCTGAGCATTGTAGACAAACGCTGACTTCAATTCAGTTTGCGATTTGCGAAATTTCTTCATTGGAACATAGGATGTCCAATTAGGAAGCATTGGGCATCTAATACTCCATTACCGAAGGAAGTAGACCTCTTCGGTCTTTTGAAGTCCTTCTGGGTAAATTTTTGTTAATTCAACTTTTTTTATTAATTAATGGCAGATTTCACTTTTGGATGGGCAAGGGTTTCCCCTATTTTATCGTCGTTGTTTGGCCCAATGCAAAAATGAGTCCAAATTAGAAATATGTTCTTATTAGGGTATCTGTTGACATTTGGACATCTTTGTATTGACTCATGAGAATTTCAAATATTACATATATTAAAGTTCATGGAGTAAGAAATAAATTTGTCTAATATTCATCGAAATGCTACGAATGATTACAAAGAGAATTCATACGAGCCCGAAATAGCTCTGCAAAGAGAAGGAGGACTACAAAAACTCCTTAATTTTTAAAGATGAAAGACAAAGAAATTCTTTAATAGTTGCAATGCCAAATATTCCTCTAATGCAAATTTGGACATACTGAACTAGTGTTAACCTCGCAGAAGATAATACAAATTTAGCCCTTCTAATAAGAGCTAAATGAGCACCTTCTCAAGCCGGGTCATGGAATTGATAGGTATCTATTTCTATTGATTCGAGAATTGATCGGAAGTAAATAAAGGTAGCATAAATAAACATTGGACTGAATGTAAAACAGGAAATTAGTACTTCTTTGTTATAATTCACTCAATTAGACAAAAATAAGAATTTAAATTATGGGAAAACATTTAAAGTCAAGGGACAGTGAAGAGTTCGCTTGGGGTGGGGGGGGGGAGGGGTAGGAGGTCACTTGGGAGCTGAGAGTAAAGTCGAAATGAGATGTGGAGTCACTGCAGCTGTTTTAGGGTCATCGTGTTTTCAACCGGGGGGGGGGGGGGTTCTACGCAGCATTTGTCCCGATGATAAAGAATTAGCAACATTTACCTAGAGCACATGCAGCGAGTTAATTTTCTCAATTATAAATAAGCCTCTACAAGGTGTCGCGTAGCTGCATATCTTTGTTTCTAGTCGGTGGCAGGCGAAAGTGATACGAGAGAATGAACAAAACGAAATTAAGATAATTGAATCATTTTGCCTCTCTAATTTATACATGATGGATACAGTTCATTGCATTCTATTTTAATGTTTCAAGTTCTTGTTTGGCCACTTCTTTTCAGAAGTCACTTAAAAGTTAAGGATTTGTAATTTTGTTCACC